TGTGGATATAAATTGTGATTAGAGTAGGAAGTCAATTTATGTGATTTCTTTTACTATTGGAACCCCTAAACATAAAATATAAATATATACATACCATATATTAGGGTGTTGGTTAGTTCCCAAGTTGATGCTTTTTTTGCTAACGCTCGCAAAAGTTTCAGTTTTGCCATAAAAAGAGCGTACAGTGTAAGCAATCTCTTTATTTTCAATTTAAGCCGTGCTAAATCATATTTCTTTTCCCATATATATAACATGTGGTTTTTTGATACAAGTATATTCATTAAGTAAGTAGATCTACAACTTTGAAAAAGTGATAATCTTATAAAAAAAATTCTGATCTATAAAAAAGGTTTGGATGAATATTTCCATAAAAACATTTCTTCAAGAGTTATACGCAGTTAAAGTTTTACAACAAATGTACTGAGCATACAAGTGGTTTAGTCGTCCTGTGTTGCTCATACGACATGGTGTACTGTATGAATTATACTTTTGATGCATAAGTTTAACTGAGTATAACTTTTAAAGACAAAATGTATGATAAAAAGTGCGCAGACGTTTTTTGTAGAGTGAAAAATTTTGTATTAGAATATTTTTTTTTCTACGCTGTAGATTATATACTGTATTTAACCTAAAGCTTTGGATTGATGTTGGACTCTACGGTCTTATAAGTTCTGAGTTATTTTACGCCGTTTCTATATTTTTTTAATATTATACTTTCGCTTGCCACTTATATTTCTTTATTGCTGACAAACCATTCATTTATCACCGCAATAAGATCTAAAATAAAGCTTTTAAAAGCCTGCATGGTAGGACTGAAGTTCAAAGAAACACATTTTCCAATGAAAATTCGCGTTAAATGTCCATGCCGATCAGAATTCTCCAAGTGTTTCGTCATTTGTTACATTTTTGCTACTGCTGCTCCTTTCTGGATAAGCAATTTTTAAACACCTGTGGAACAAACCCTGTAGACAAAGTTATTTATGCGTTAATTTACCGGCAGCTTTACTTCTCATTACTCCCGTAAATAATTATAGCCATGGTGATTAAAAGGAAGCTGTTAGGCTTCACGAAATTGGTATGAGGATACATGTGTATGTGCCGTAATTGAGACAACATTATATAAATCAAAATACATGCGCATCTATTTTGTTTCACTTCAAGCAAATTCCAAGTAAAAATTAGGTGAAATGTGAACCTTCGACTTACCTGTAAAAAATGTGCTTAATGGCTTTAAAATGCGGAAAAGCGGATGAATTTAATGGAAAATCACTTGAAATGAAAATACAAGTGTATATTATTGAAGATTTTAAATCAAGATAAAACATAATTTTTTATTTTATCAGAATACTCCTGCATAGTTGATTTATTAATATTGCATTATCACAGCGCCATTTGTCGATTGACACAAAAAATACACACGTATACTATCCAATCAGCTTTTTGAAATATCCTACTCTACCGTTTACCTCACTCTTCTTGTGTGACCTGACATTAGGTGCTAACCAGTGACGGGCAGCGTAAGTCAATTAGAAAATTTATTTGTGGTTATATTTATGCTCTCTTGTTCGCCATAAAGTTGAGTGATACTTTAATTTTTATTACCACCGCCAATGTGCTCTTTGTTTTCACGCTTTAGTGCTTCATTGCTTTTGTTGTTTCTTAGTTTACAAATGATTTAACAATTTAATAAGCAACGCTTTGTGGGGAGAGCACAATGTGGCGCTGACTGTATAGCTTCGCTTTTTATGGTTTGTCATAAATTTCATTAACATTGTTGTTGTTTTGTTATACGTTTCTGCATAGATGAAAGAAGGTTATTATTTTTTATTAAGCGTGGTGGAAGGACATTGTTTTGCGAAATTTTGTTGAATGATTTACAAGTGAGCTGTTTTTGTGAAGAGAGAGCGAGAGTGAGAACGAAAAATTATGGGTGGTTCATGGATTTCCTTTAGCTTCTCGTTCATGCTTCATTGGCTACTTTGTGTCTGCTTGGATGCGATTTATTTAATTAAATAGTAGAATAATATTTTGTAGAAAGTATTATTGCAAATTGGTTTGAGTATTTTCCAAGCATTCCGATAATCAGTAAAATTCCACAAATCCATCGCTAAAACGTTGCACCAAATCATACCAATTTTTAAAATATTTTGTCCATAAGAGCAGCATTTTTTTATTTAGTAAAATCTTCTTTAAAATAATTCTAAGTGCCTTATTTCTTAATTACCATTGAGTGGAGTATTGGAAAAAGGGTTTCTCCATCGCTTTCAGATAACCCTTCTTTAAAATCTGACTCTGGTACATCTTTGGTTGAGTTATTTCAATGGCATCACAGATTTTTTCTCTAAGTGTCGCTATATTTTTGCTAGCTATAGTTTTTAATAGTTATTATCTTGAGGCTCGCTGCTCTTTTAAGTCGTATGTCTTAGCATTATTGCTACAAAATCTCCTAGTCTTTTTGTTAACCGGAAAGCTATTAGAGCATGAAATTCTGACCTGACAGATCGATGTGAATCTTCGGAAAGTGTGATAAAAAGCTTTACATTTTTACAAAGTTAACGTATTTTGCGATTTCGGGATTATGAAATATCAATTTCGTCATGCCCAAAATTTTCTGGACTTAGCCCTTATTAGTTTATTTTCCAATAATGGATGGAAGAACGATTTCAACATATTTCGGAATCGCATAATAACAACTTTCAAATCGCGGATAACTATCAATGTTTAGTCAGTCTTTTTTTCAGGCTTCGCATTTTCGTAAAATTCGATATTTCAGAATCATAAATTATGAATTTCGGGATCCCGAAAATTTTCGGGATTGAGCTCTTGGGTTTTGATACTTTAATAATTTTATCATTTTATCGTATTTTGAAATCACACGGTAACATATTCGGGATCCCGAAAATTTTCGGGATTCAATAACATGTTTTTAATTTTATTTTTTAAACTTTTAATATGTATTATAACAAAGACATTTAACAAATCTTTGAAAAAATGGCCTGTAATGAAGACGCTACAAAAATGAATCCGTACTGCAAGTTGAAGATTAATAAATTGGATTTGAGCAGCGAATACATTTATCAAGGTGTTTTAGAAGTTAAGCTCTTTTAATTAAAGTAAGAAACTTTGTAGTGCTCAGCTGCTTAAAACTCTATTCGTGAAAGAAGGGAAACGCTACTAATACAATTTTTTTTATTATACTTCTTAATGTGCACCTAGTAACATTACACAATTTTCCAATTAAATTCTAGTTCACTATAATTTGTGCGGCGAATTTACGTAGGCAATTAAGCGCTTACTAAGCCCATTCAATAATTCGAGCTGATGGCGCCCACAGTAAAACCACCAACATAAAGTTTATAATACACAATATTTTCAAACTCAAACAATGGTGAGTTTGTGTTAATTTTCTGAACGCAATTCATCAAGCTTTAATTAAATTTACAAAATATGCGCCTAACAGCAGACTAAGCTGTGCTGTGTAGCTAACTTTAACGCAATTGTAATAAATCGCCGAAGCAGCAGCGCACAAACTACGAAGTCAATTTTTGTAAATGAAGCTGTACATTTTTTTTAAACGCTTGAAGAGCGCGTGTGGCGAAAAATAAAAATAATATACAATTTTTTTTAAATTTTTTATATTTTTTTTTCTAGTTTAGAAATTTGCTGGCATATATTTTTTCAATATTTCGCGCATTCGATCCGCCAGCTGTCAATTACGATGCGCTGCTCAAAGGCCAGGAAGGAAGCAAATCGGTTTCACAGGGATGCACATCTCTTTGCGCTTACGTTCACTAATACCCTGACTTTCCGATATATAAAATGAATGCGTGTAGTTGTTGTTGCATATTCAATATTTATGTGCAGCATCTGAAATTCGACATTAAGCACTGGCAAATGCTGTTGCTCTGCAACTTTTTACCCTAAGTCGCCAGCCAAACAGGCCGGAACTGGCGAACTGTAAAGCGGTAGCTAACGGTTTTATTTGTTTGCCATTTGAAGCGTGAAAAATTTGTATTTGCGCACCGAAAGCAAAGCAATGCGCCGAAAAGAAATAGAAAAAGTAAAAAACAAATCTGCAAAAAGCAACGCCTCTAATTTCCAACAAACGGTATTTTGTGCTGGAAATGCTCTTTGATTGATTACATTGACCGCGGCTGATGAAGGTCTGCCGTCTGATGGATAGCGGCGCAGCATCGCTTTAGTCGTAACTAAGCTGAGCTAAGTTCTTGTTGTTGTATTTAAAAATATTGTATATAATTTTTGTAACTTTGTGCTTTCTTCTTTCACCGATTATTTGCATTATTTATTGGCGTTGAGTGACAGGCGCTCAGCTTACAATTTATTTATGTTGTTGCCATTTTTTTCAGATCCACTGTACTATCTGCTGTCTGCTTTCTGGGCGTTTTTTGCTGATGTTTTCTTCTGTTGTTGTTGCTTTTTGCTGCAAGCTAACTGTAATTTTGCTAATAAATGTGTCTAGCTGCGCAGTAATGAAATATTCGAAATTGCTCTATTTTTCAAATATTTGGGTTTGTGTGTAGAACAAACAAAAAATAAAAAATAAATAAATAAATAAATCAAAAAAAAAAAATATTGAAACAAATTACCGTTTCAAACGACGTATTTGTGTGTATTTTGCAGACATAAATATTGACACTAGTACACAAATTTAAATTCAGTTACATGACGAGCTTGAAAAGCAAATTGTCTCTATGCGCGCATTATGTCTAGTTGGCTGGCTTTCAGAGTAAAAATAAAATTAATTATGATATTTTATTCCATTAACGCTTATTTATTTGATTTAGTTATTGAAAAAACAACTTACAAATATTATTAATAAATCAATTTTATATATGTATATGTGTATTTTATTTTATTTACAATTCATATTTTTATTTAAACTATTTAACATACTACGATAATTTTACATGCTAGTTATGTTGGTGCTATTTTATGGAGATTGAGTAAAAATACTAATTAATTTTATTTATTCTTTTCAGCGTTTTTTATGAGCTGTAAACAAATGGTGAGTTCTTATAAAATGTTCTTTAGAAATTTATTTTAGCTTACACCAAAATAGGTGTATATATTGTACTATAAAGACAATCAAAGTATTATACTATAATAATATTTTATTGATTGACTTTTGAGACTCCAAAATTGAAATAATTTTTCAATAATATTCCATGAACAATATTCCTATTAAATATGTTCCCTTAATTGTTTTATTCCTCTAATGTAGTCTACTAATTTTTATACTATAATTGTGAGACACCAATTTTCTCAAGCAAGTAAAATCACTTATCCAAGTACAAAACCTGCAGTTTAGCCGAGTTCGCCACCCGCATAGAATAATTATTTAATACGCTTTTTTTCACTTTCAATTTGTGATTTGACCTTATCGAAAACTTGTTCTAAAAAATGTATTTATTATTTCATGTTGTTGATTTCTCTTTCAGCGATTAGAGTTTAACCTGGAAGTAATTGATTGTTGCCAAAAAATATATTATATATATATAGTCTAATTTTGTTAGTGTGATGTAATTTTACTAGTAATGCTTAGAAAACACCATTAATCAGATCAGATTACTGTAATTAACTGTTTATTTAGCATTAAGCTATGAAATATCTCGTCGACTTTGTATCTGTGCTAATAAATTTTACATCAATACTTGAACAATTTATTTGATTTTTAAGAGGCAAAAAAACAAAAAAATCAAGTACATGCAAAGCATTAATACATATTCAAATAAATACTTTTATTTATGCGCAATAATATGACTTTTGAACGTTTAAAAAGTTGAAAAAGTTTGCGGCTAAAAAAGCTTGTAATTTATGCGTTAGTAGTAACAACAGGCTGTAAGTTGGCTAAAATCTGCAATGATGAGTCGCAAAACCAATTAGTGTGCACACATAAAAATGCACGGATTAGTATTTATTTAACTTATATTTTGCAACATAAAAAATAAAAGCATTGAATCAATATCATGTTGACAATGTTGACAAAATTTGTTGCGGTTTAGTTGTAAAAAAAGTTGAATTGCTATTAATTGAATGCCATACAAGTGCAAACTAATTGAAATCTGTTGTCGATTTATATTTTGCTTATGTCATCATATATACTTGTCTGTGTACATGTGTGATTAAAGCCTGTAAATTCTTGTCTGGAAATTCGCTTTTGGTTTTGATTAATTGATTTTGCTAATTTTCATTGGTAATAACAATGTGGGAACCATAAAAATGAAAATTATAAATAAATGATAAAAATAAATAAATAAAAGAAAGCTATCGGAAGTTAAAAATGTTATTGCAGAGATTTTTTTTTAGTTGCAAATTATAGTTTTAACAGTTAGTAAAACGAAGTATACTTATATATATTGCGCCTACAACTATATTCGCATTTTTTTTGTTTAATTTGAACCTTTAATAAAGAAAAACATTCAAAATAATATTATTCCAAGTATAGCATATTAATCCAGAAACTACCATAATTTAAGAATTCTCTGGCGATTTGTGGATTTTAAGCCCAAAAAACTGTACAGGCTTGGCGGCTAAAAATGAATCAAGCCCAGTTTTGATATCCTGATGCTAGCCGTATGCCAGTGAGATTATTCTTTATTGACCGGAAAATATGATAGTCCGAAAGAGCAAGTTCTGAGCTAAAAGGCCAGTGAGGTCAAATTTCCCAATCGTTGTTTTTCAAATAGTTTTCAAGCAGTATTGCGAAATGAGGCCGTCATGATGGAAAATTATAACCACGTATCTAGTCGCAAATTCCGAGTATATTCCCTCAATCGCTAGCTTCAATTTGATGTTTTGTTGTCTGTGTGTTTTAAACGCTTATAATACAGCACACCCTTGTGATTCCATAGGATACATATAATAATACATTACCTTGGCGACATAGATATTAGGCTGGCTTCTTTTTGTTATGTTATTACAAATTTGTGTTATTTTACGTTATGTTATGTTATGCTAAGCCGTTTTATTCTTAAATTGCACTATGTTTCTTTATTCTTTCCATATAATTTTAGAAATAATTTGTAGTTTCAATAACAACATATAAAACCCGCCGCTTGTCAATGCAATAAATTTAAATTGGTTCTACCACACACACTTTCGGCTGGCTTTCACACGTGTCATCACTGCTACTATTTTCATCATATTTAATTACCATTACCACTGCATGCAGCACATATTATATATCACATACTCTACTAACAATAAATTTAATTTATTGCATAATCGAATTTCATTAGTTATTTGACAATGGTTTTAATGAAAATTAGTACACCGAAATGTTGCCAATATTTAGCTGCCACAAAAAATGTCACCAAACCGAAAGCACATTGCATAACATGCAATTGTCAATATTTATAAATTATTTGCGCGTTCAAATAATTTTCAACGATCGTCACGTACACACCAACACAGCTGCGACGCTTCAAAACGCCTAATGTTAGGCAATGCCATAGAGCTATTACATTGCTATTATTGTGTGCACGCATACGTTGTTGAACAGTAGTGCTGGTAAATGTATGAAAATATTGTTGCTGATTTTGTATTATAGCCAAAATATAATTGCGCCAACAATGTGTACGCATAGTACCGCACACGCGTGTATATATGTATATTAACAAATACTTATTTGGAATTTGTACCGTTACGTGCTTGTCTACAAATTTTAGCAATTAATTTATTTTTATTATAGTTATAATATTTAGGTAATGTTTCGACGTGATTGCCAGCAGCATAATTCTATTTGTGGTATGCATATTTGTGTGGTGTGTATTTGTTTTGGTCGATTTCGCATTATATATTCGTGGAATTTACTTAACGGTACTTGAGTAAAATAGTTTTGTGCACTTCAGAAAGTTTGACATATCCTGTATTGGGTTACGATGTTAGTATATGCGTAGTAAAATAAAAATAATCTAATAGGTGGTTAAACAAATTTCGAGAAGGATTGGAAGACTACTTATGTACTTTATGCCTTGTTTATGTTTTATGTTTATGAAAGAAATTTTTGATATTGATTTTATGTCAAGTTATGACCTCTTGTCTTAAAATGTTGCATTATGTTATGATATGGTATGCTATGGTATGTTATTTATTGTTAATATTTTATGCAATTTTATATATCTAATTACTTAATTTAAAATTATTAAAAGTTAATGTTATGTGTTATGTTATTTGCTATTATGTGCTATGTTATGTTATGTGGGTAGTTCTATATGTTTTTTGTATATGTAACGAAGGAGGAATTTATTTTGACCTAGTATCGTTCACTAAGGTCGACAATATTACTATGAAGAAACTTTAAATTGCCCTAAAAATGTTCAGCATAAATTACTAAAATATCACATATTTTCTACAAGCCCTTTCAAAGCTTACAAATTGCCTCGAATGCTTTCGCTTTTTATTCTACAAAATAAAAACCATAAAGCTTGTTAAAAGTAGATCTACTGCAAGCTACTGGCTTCTTTTGTTTGACTAAGAAAGAGAGCAAATTTGGAAAATCAAAGTTTATTCTTATTTGTATTATTTAAGATTTTCGCTTTCTTCTATTTACCATAAAATATTATATATAATAAGTCTGTCTTCGCTCGAAACTTTGCAACCAACTTTAGGTTGCAGCCAGGTCACAGCTTGTACCTCGCGTGTAAGAAAAGTTACTTAACCTTGATATATTTGTATTCCACTTTTTGCACTCTAAGCCTAAAGGTATGCTTTCAAATATATGCAGGTATATAAAGTTTTCGTAAGATTCTACTACAACTGGGACACATGTGAAATTTCTTGCTTATTTTTTTTAAGTCCTTTATGTGTGATATTAATTTAAGGTTAACAGGTAGAAAAGTTTGCCATTTGTAGCACGCAACTACTACTTGGCTTAGTGGCTGAAAAAAAATTGAGTGTGGAGCGACTGTGAATGAAAATTTAGATATAACATAAGTACATGTATATGTACATATGTTTTTAGCGCATCAAAGGATTAGGCCTGTTGCTACTATTTTATATTTTGTTATTTGCTTCTCTGCGAAACCACAAAGTTTTTGCTACCTTCATGTTATGTGACACTTTCTGTAAACTTGTTTTCTAAAGGCATAACTGTAGGAGTTGTTATTTATTTATTTGATTTTATTTTGTCTAAATTCAAATTTGGTTTTTTTCAACAAATTGTAAGTTTAATTTTATTGTAAATTAAAGAAAGACAAATAATGTTAATGTATGGATTTGCAACTCGTTAAGTGCCCATTTTCTTTATGTGCACGCTCAAAAGTGTGCTATAATTTTGTAAAACCTCAAATTTCCAGCAACGCGAAGTTAATTGAGTTGTAAAAGGTTCAGAAAATGTTTGCGCAAACAAGCCTAGACACATTTGAGGGTCACTTTCACGACACCCAGAAGAGCAACTTATTCATAACGGCCTAAAAGTAGACAATTATGTTTTCGTATTACGTGCAAATGCTGCGTTGGTGTGAGTGCTGCTTACCTATTCATTGGCCATAGTTTGCACGTAAAGTGCAGAGGATTTTATGGCTTTTAAAAGCACAAAAGTAAAGGGAATGGCTCACAGCAATTTCGTTGCATAAGCACAGATGAACCCCAAAAATATGCAAATTTTTGCGGGATAACAAGCATATGTAAACGGATACGTATGGAACACTATGTCGAAATTATGCATAAACACAAGATACTCGAAACTGTAGTTGGAACTGCTCAAAATATAAACGATACAAAATATTTAAGTGCTTGTGCACACACACTTGCCCACCTTTGTATGTAGTATGGGTGTGGTGGTGTGTCGTGTGTTGACGCACACAGCTCCTTTCAAGCAGCTTAACTTGTGTAGAATGGAAATTAGCAATATATTGTTAACATCCTAACCAAACAAGGCGCACACATACACACATATATACTTCAAGTAAATTTTCTCCTTGTGTAGCATCTACATACATACACATATGTATATTTATCGCAATGCCTACATATGATTAGTCCTTTTGCTGTGCCATTATCTTG